CAATCATCTGCTTCCCCTTCTTCTCTCAGCTCTCCCAGAGTGCCCACGGCGCTTCTGAGATCAGAGAGCATAATTACAAATGAACTGGGGCTCTGGGGAAGGCTTACAGCTTAATTAGCTCCCGTCCCTGCGCTGTCTGCGTTTCTCGGCCTCACGCTCCATGCAGGAGCCCTGACTGCCGGAGAATTCAGAGCGGGAGCCTCCTGGCTTGTTAACACACTCTGCTCGGTCCCTCCTGACACTCACATCCAGGCGGCAATTAGGCCCAGCGAGGAGGGGAGAGGCCCCTGTTTGTGCATCCGGAGCTGGCTGGCGGGGGGAGCTTCTTGTCTGAGCCAGCCCGGAGGTGAGGCGCACCGTGGAATGTGGAGTGGCGGCGGCGGCTGCGGGAGCGTGCACCTGCCCGGCCCAGCCCAGGTCAGAAGGCTTCGGGCTGCAGGTGTGTTTCCAGGGGCGTCTGGCAGGGGCGGGGCACTGAAGATACCTGAGGTTAAAGGGGCTCATACACTAGGGGTCCGGCGTGGGGGCCAGGAGGGATGGCAGAGATAAGGGCTGCCGTGACCCCTGGCTGTGAGCCACCCTGGACAGCAGAACTCCCTCCTAGCTCAAGCCGGGGCCTCTAGAAAGGGCTGTGGGCTTGTGCAACATCAGAAAGAAGCAACTGTGCAACCACACCTGGAGGGCCCCTCTCAAGGGAAGGAGCAAACCCCAAAGTTGATTTCTTGGTCCTCATGACTTCCTGGTGTGTTAAGGCTTGGGCTGTTGCTGAGTGCCTGGCTTGAGGTGTTTCTCCACCCTAAAGGGAACTCATTGCCCTGTCTCCTGGAGAAGAGGGATCTTAGAGGAAGAATCCAGCCTGGAGGCAGAAAAAAGAAGCCATTAGCTAGGCACTGATGCTTGTCCAAGAAGATAATGGAGGAGGAGACAGGGGCGCCTCCCAGCTGCTGATCCCACCCCCACTCCCCAGCCGGGCGTCTGCACGGCCCAAGAGGCCTGAGCTTCCTCGGGACCCAGACCCCACAGAAGAATTTAAGCCACACTCCCTCCCTCAAAGAGAGGGAGTAAAACATCCAAACTGAAATGAATACTTGGATTTAATATTTAATAAAAATATTTAATAATAATACTACATCTAAAAGTCAGCCATCACTCTACTTCAGTACTTATATAAAAATGGGTTTGAATGTCAGCCAGGGATGTATTTCAATCTGTTTGATATAACACAAAATGGCTTTCCTCAAATTGAGTGCCCTGGGCCCACAAAACTCTTAACACAGACCTGCCTTACACCTCAGAGAAACTAAGACACAGAGGCAACATGAACCTATTTCACGACCAAAGTGCTGAGGCCTCAGAGGGACCACAGGCCCTGAGGCCTTAGAGGGATGCCCTGGACCGGGGCCTGACCCTTCTTGGGGATGAACTTTGTCAAAGGATGCTCAGCGCTCACACGGTCCTTTGTATACACCTGCCAGGCTCACGGGGGGCCTTTCTTCTTGAGGAAAGAAGACTAAGGGGGAGTGTTGGAGTGAATGAGAGAGAACGTCCCGTCTATCTCTTATTTCCGAGCAGTGCTGTAAATCTCTGCCCTGCCGGCTCTCCACACTGAGATGCCCTTTGTGCCTCCTCCGGTGGCTCTGAACCAGGCTGCCTTTTTGTTATATCGTTAGGGAAGGATTGCTTCTGTGCACAGGAGGAAGCCAGAGTGACTAGTTGCTCGCTGTATTTATATTTTAAACAGGCATTGACTGGGTGTGGACCACATAGCTGGCGGATGCTATTTTTGAGGTGTTCAGAGGCCAGCAGGGGAGACAATTATAGCACAAGGAAGGCTCAGAGAAGAGTATGTACAAGTGTTGCAAGGCCCAGGGAACCTGAGAGTCATTCTAGCTGAAGTTGGGAGACCACACAGAGGAGAGGATGGCCAGGCTGGGCCTCCGATGATGACCAGGGTGTCTGTGCATCCAGGCCTGAGAGAGGGTGGGAATTAAGGGTCAGGGACTGGGCTATGGGGCGGGGGCTCAGGATGGACAGGTGGATTGTGACCCGAGGGAGGGAGGCAGGGTGCCCGGAGCAAATGAGAGGAGACAGCCTAGACTACAGGAGCTACGGGAGGAATCCAACAAGGGAATGTTTCTTCGGCTTCTCTGCTGCAGAGCAGAGGCTGGAAGGGAGGGAAGAGAAAAGGGAGGTCTCTTCGACTGCCTGCTTTTTAGCAACATCACCCTACTTGTCAGCCACAGCCATGAACGGGTCACACCACTGTGCTCTCCGTCCACGGCACCCTGTGGCTGCCTCTGTAGCTTTTCTGCCTATAAACCAGGGATCTTTCCATGAAAGCTCCAGCTGGGTTTGGACCTAGATCCCGAGCCAACCGGAAGTCCCCAGGCCTTGCCACTCAATGTGTGGTCCAGGAACCCGCAGCATCAGCATCCCCTGGGAGCTTGTTAGAAACGCAGACCCTCAGGCCCCGCCCCAGACCCACGGGATCAGATTTCTCCAGCTCACCAGAGCCATGTGACTCCCTGAGGGTTTCTAGACCTAGAGTGGCCACTGCCTGGGGCAACGCGACCTCAAAGTTGGACCCTTCCGCTCCCAGGCTCAGGCCACCGAGGACAGGGCGATTACAAAACCAGGAATTTTCTCCAGGTGCTAAGCAAGGCTTAGTTTAGGGTTTTCAATATTGCAGGCAGAAGGCCAATCAGAAGGGGCTCAGTCCCTCTCAGACACACGTTGTCTTGTCGGGCGCACAATCAAGAAACAAAACAACCCAGGAATGCCGGTGAGCTCAGGCCAAGGTGGAGCAGCAGTAACTCATGCCGCAACAAGTTACATGTGTCTCACTGACGAGGCAGCCTGTACAGGTGGAGTCACGCGCCCATACCTGTCAGCACGTACATTATCCACGATTATCTGGATTTTCTTTCCATTTGGCCTCAGAGAAGGAGCCGCCACACAAAGAGTTTAGCAGAGCAGAGTCACTGGCCGTGCACTTGGATAGAACAGTATCCACAGATACAAAGAATAACCAGTTTAAGGTGTATGTCTATGGGGGGGTGGGGCTGCCGAAAATCCGACGCACCTTCTCGAAGGGGAACTTACGAGAAGCTCTCTGCTTTTCTGCAAGTCACGACGTGAGAAAAGCTTCTCATCACATTTAGGGCCTTAAGCATTTGAAAATAATAGAAAGGAAAAGTTTTGAATTAAAATTTATGGTTGAGCCTGCCTGTCTGGGAGGAGCTGGCTTCGTGGGCAAAGCTGACGCCAGCCAGGCTGCAGGGGCTGGGAGAAATTGGACACCAGCGTCCCCGAAGTGAGGGGGGACGGCTCTCCCAGAGACCAGCGCGCTGGCCCCTCTGGGCCCAGCAGCTCCCGGCTCAGGCTGCACTCTGGACACTCCTGGGGGAGTGTTTAAGCAATGCTGATGCCCGGACCACACTACAGACCAAGCCAATCTGAATCTCTGAAGGTGGGGCCCACTCATCGACAGATTTTTAAAGCTCTCCAGGTGATTTTAATGTGACACCAGGGCTGAGAACCACTGAAGACTCCAGAGCTGGAGGAAAGGGGTGGGGCTCCTTGCTTCTGACCCGCTGGGGTCTTCCCCTCCGCTGGGAGGGGAGAGTGAAGCTGACAAATTCATCTGCAGGGATGTGGTGTCAGTTCAGCACTGTCCTCACCACTCCTTGCCTCTGAGCAGTATGAACACTTCCGATTTCCATCTAGGCAGCATTTTTCAAAGCACTTAGACATCCATGATCTTATTTTAACCTGTGTATTCGTTTGCTATTGATGATGTAACAAATTACCACAAATGTCAGGGCTTGAAGCAACACAAGCTTATTATCTTACAGTTCTGTAGGTTGGAAGTCCAGCGTAGTCTTACTGAGCTAAAATCAAGGTGTCACAGGGTTGTGCTCCTTCTGGAGGTTCCAGGGGACAATCTGTTTCCCTGCCTTTTCCAGCTTCTGGAGGCCACTCACATTTCTTGGCTTGTGGTCCCTCCAATCTCCCTGCTCTCTGCTTGCCTCACATCTCTGTCTCTGACTCCGACCCTCCGGTCTCCTTCATCTGAGAACCCTCGTGATTACACCAGGCCCTCTAGGATAATATTCCCATCTGAAGATCCTTAACTTAATTGTATCTGCAAAGTCCCTTTTGCCATGGAAGGTCCTATTCCTAGGTTCTGGGGATTAGGATGTAGACATCTTTGCGGGGCAGGGAGGGGAGGCGCATTCGTCCCCTCCCCCACCAATAGCACCTGAGTCAGATGTGCATTATTATACCTGTTCAGCAGATGAGAAAACTGACACCTAGCCAGAGACAGGCAGCTCCTGGATGGTAAAGCTCCTACATTCTTGTAACCCCATGCCTCATTGCCACAGCATCTGGTGGCTACCTCTTGGACTCATCACCCATCTTGATCCTCCAGCCATTGATCACTTTCCCCTCCCCTCCCCTCCATGAAGCCCAAGGGGTCTCCTGCCCTCCTGTGGGGTTGGTTATTCCTACCCTCTTATATTGGACAGCTTCATAGGCACCCAGCAACTGATACAGAATGGTGTCACAGCGAAACCCACGGCTACAACCAGGTCAGGCTGCATCACCATGCGGCCTGGGAAGCTGGGTTCTCTCTCTGGGCTGGTGCCCATGGTTTTAGGCTCCTCACATCCCCTTGACTAGGTCATCATACACACAAATAATACCACAGACCTCTCCCCTGTGGCATTTCTCAGAATTCCACCATTGTTTATGTACTTCTGTAACTAATCTCGGTCTTTCTCTCTCAACTGTAAACTCCACAAGGACAGAAAACATACTTGTTATTGCTCACCAGCACCTTGTAGGGTGTATGGCATTTAGGGGATATTTAATAAAAATCTGTTAAATGAAGGAGTGTTTGCCAGCTCTCTAAGGCTGACAGACTGTAACTACTTCTTTGCCTTCTAGAAGCTATGGTTGATTGCATTAATGTTCCCATCTACTGCTTTCCCCTGTAGGAGGACCACACATCCCCATTCATTGACATGTGACCACAGAGGATCCCTCCCTGCCACTTCCAGGCTTGGCCATGTGACCTGCCTTGGCTGGTGGAATATGAATGGATACGACAGAAGCCATGTCTCTGCAACTTTGAGAGCAGTTACATGGCTTGGTTCTGCCTCTTGTTCTTTTCCCTTTGCCAAGAGAACACAATGTCTTGACTGTGGGCTGCTCCTTCAGCACATGTCCCAGAACGAGAAGGAGCATGGAGCAGAGCCACAGTGGCCACCATGCAGCTCTCAACACGAGCAAGATTGAAGCTGATTTTTGTTACTGCAGCACAACTTAGCAAGCTCTGACAAATACAGAAGGCTCTACTGGACATCTCGGGGTATATCTATCCAGCTTTCCTTCCTCCCAAATGGAGACCACAATGCTGCCACCTACAAGCTGTGTGATTTTGAGAAAAATCACAGAACGTCTTGGCCTCAAATTTCTACACTAACAGACAGAGCTTTCTCCCAGCTTTCTGACCAGCAATTCTGAAGAACTAGCCTATCACTTGACACTTGACCCCTGTCGTTCATGAGTTATCTTTGCACGTGGTAGTATCATACCAGGGAAGTCCCCCCAAATTTTGAGTCCAACAGCTATGTATTCTTGAGCAAATTGTTTTATCTCTCTTATCTGTAAAATTTTTCTCCTCTATTAAAGGAAAATGCATCACACAGCATTGGGGTATGTCATCTAGCTCATAGAATGTACTCAATAAATCGAAGTGCCCTCCCTTTCTCTTACCTTCTTGATCAGATTGAGTCCTTTGAGATACACTTCTTTGAGTCTGACATGCCCTGAACCTGGGGTTTCCTCAGGGAGGGGGTGACAAAATCCCTGGATAAAAACCCACAGAGGTGTATGCAGATATTCATAGCAGCATTATTCATAAAGGTCCAAAAGTGCAAACAAGCAAATGTCCATCAGCTGAGGAACAAACAAAATGTGGGATTATCCATATGATGAAGTGTTTTTGAGCCATAAGAAGGAACGAAATACTGATTTACGCCACAAAATGGATGAACCTTGAAAACATTATGCTAAATGAAAGAAGACAGTCACAAACGACCACCTATTGTGCACTTCTATTTATATTAAATGCCTGGAAAAGGCAAGTCCATAGAGACAGAAAGTAGATTGTGGTTGTCTAATCTACTGGCAGGCTGGAGAGGATGGAGGGGTTGGGGGGGGGGCGGTGACGATAGCTAATGGGTACAGGGTTCCTTTTCCAGGCGATGAAAATGTTTTGGGGCCCGCCCTGTGGTCAAGTGGTAAAGTTCACGCGCTCTGCTTCGGTGGCCCAGAGTTTCACCAGTTCGGATCCTGGACACGGCGCCACTCATCAGGCCATGCTGAGCTGGCGTCCCACACAGCACAACAAGAAGGATCTACAACTAGAATATACAACTATGTACTTGGGGGCTTTGGGGAGAAGAAGAAGGAAAAAAAGAGAGAGAGAAGATTGGCAACAGATGTTAGCTCAGGTGCCAATCTTTAAAACAATTTTTTTAACTTAAAAAAAAGCAAATGTTTGAAGTTAGTGGTGATGGTTTCACAACTTTGTAAACACACTAAAGAACAATGAATTGTACACTTTAAAAGGGTAGATTATATGGTGTGTGAATTATATCTCAATATTTTTTTAACAAAGAGCCTCTGGAGAGATGCAAAGGGACCAGTAGCCAGGGGTGGCTGGCTCAGGGGAGGAACATTGCTGCATCCGTCCCTCTTCTCAGCCCTCTCTGTGTCACCCTGCTTTGGTCTCCTAAATCTCTTCATTTTTGCTGAGGCCACATGCCCAAGCAAGGAAAAAGTCTCTTTTTGCTTAGCTCAAAGGAAATGGTTGAGATTTTTCAAGGATCACTTTATTAAAAATTTAAAATGGGGTAGAGTGAGGAATAAGACTATAAATGCTCAAAATGTGAAGGAATGAAAGATGGAAGTCTCCTGGAGTTCAGATTCCTTACTCTACAACAGTCACAAGTACAAGCCAACTCATGGGTCTCAAGTCCTTCCCACCCATTCAGTTCTGTCTAGGAAAACCAACCCTGAAAGTCCCCGGACCTTTGGAAGCTCTGGACAATCTCCTCTATCCCTCCTTGCCTTTCACGTTGGGCCCGAGCCCTAGCTGGTAACAGTCTGGTCGCTGGTCCTCTCAGTATGGAATGCCATCTCCTCCCCTCCAGACCCAGGGACCAAGGCATTGGTGAGTGAGAGCATGGGTGGGGACCCTCAGCTCTTCTTTCCACCCCAACCTCCCAGAAGGAGAGGGCTGTTTCCTTACAGTGCTCCACAAACATTATTGATGGACCTATCACCCAGGGCCCAGAAAATTCTAACTTCCCTTCACTTCCCAGGAGAGTGTAGGTCCCTTGCCCCATCTTCAATCTGTAGGTTCAAAGATGACCAATTCAATTGTAAGAGTATCCTAGCAAAATGAAGACAAATAAGTCATGACTCTTCCCTGCTTTTGCTTGCATATTTTTAGATTTTAAGATCAAATGATAGCGTACCAACCCAAATCTTTGGGTGTGTTTTGGATTGGTGTGAGCCTGTTGGCCACTGCTACAGGCCAGCTTGAGCTGATTGACGGCAAGAAGCCCACACGTAGGAGAGAATGGGCTCCTTCCAGGGCAATCACATCACCGGTGTTGGGGGGAGTTTCTTTTCCTTGCCAGTGTCTGCTTCCCTCTGAGGGGCTGCTGGCATCATCTAGAGAGAGTTTGGAATATGGGAACATGACTTGTCTCTTTCCTCAGAGCTTTGGAGCTTATTTACAAAGCTCTCCAGTTCCTGGGTTGAAAGGGCTCACCAAAAGACCAAGATATCCTCAAAACAATCCAGGCCACAGTCAATATTTATAACCCAGGGCTGCAGCTCAGGTGGCTTCATGCAACTATTTGAGTTCCACTTAACCACTGGACACTGATCATTGTGGGACACCTTTTGCCCTCTGGCCTCTCTCTCTATTGGGAATACACTTGACTTTCAAAGGCTCAACTTGTGCCATTCAAAGCAAAAATGTTCACCTCATTTTTAAGCCCTATCTTGTTCCCCTACAGTCTAAATAAACATTACTCAACAGCCCAAGTTACTTAACCATCAATCATTTCCACTTCAAGGAGAAGGTAAAAGGAACAAAGATGTAACAGCACAGAAAGACTGAAATTTAACCTCCACCGCTGGGCGCTTTCCAAGCTTGTTCAGATTAGTTCTTCAAAAAGAAGCCCCAGAGAACTGACGTTACCTCAAACTTACTGAAATTCCTTTTCTCTCAAGGATTACACTTGAGCATGAAGCAAGTCATCTTGGAAGCCCCGGGCAGGTGGTAAACTCAGTTAGTGTGCGAATATTTGCTCTCCCTCCCCTTTGGAGGAATGTCCACACATCTTTGACATTCCTCTTCTCTTTGATGCTCCCTCCCTTGGATGGGTCTCTGACCCAGCCCTCCACCGTTTCTCCCTCCACGACATCTCCCAGTCCATGAGCTTCCATGTCTATTTCTCCTTCCTTCCTTTCCCTTTACAAATCCTCTGGAAAACAATCACCCCCTACAGAAAAATCGGCCTCTGAAATCTCCACTCTCTCTCATCTCATTGACAAATGCCCATGTTTGGCTCTGAGACGCAGAAGTCCTACTGTGTAGAGCAGGGGACAGCGGTTTCCCAGGGGTGGCCTCAGACCACCTGCACTCGACTCACCCGGATCTTGCTAAGTATAAAGACACCACTCTGAACCTTACCACCTCTACTGAGTTGGACTCTGGGAAGTGGGCCGGGGACTCTGCATGTTTAACAAGCTTGCCAGGTGGTGCACCCAGTGAAGTTGGGGATCCACTATTACTGAGGGGGAGCATGGCTTTAGAGTCAGAAATACCCTGGCTGGATTCTGTGCCTTGCTTTTTAGTAGTAGCATTGTTTTTGAACAGTTTTATTGAGATACAATATACATACCAGGCAATTCTGTGTACATACGATTCAATGGTTTCTAGTATATTCACAGAGTTGTGCAATCATCACTACAATCAATTTTAGAACATTTTTATTACCCCTAAGAGAAACCCTGTATCCATTAGCAGTCACTCTCCATTTACCTTTAACCTCTCAGCCCTAAGCAGCCATTAATCTGCTTTCTGTCTCTATGGATTTGCCTATTCTCAATATTTCACATCAATGGAACCACACAATGGGAGACTGTCTGAGTTCTCTCACTTAGCATGTTTTCAAGGTTCATACATGTTGCAGCATGGCAGTACTTCATCCTTTTTCGTGGCTGAGTAATATTCCATTGTACGGATATACCATCTTTTATTTGTCCACTCATCTGTTGATGGGCATTTGGGTTGTTTCTGTTCTTTGCTTATCATGAATCAAGCTGCTGTGAACATTTCTGTATGAGTTTTTGCATGGATGCATGCTTACATTTCTCTTGGATATATACCTGGGAGTGAGTGGAATTGCTGGGTCATATGGTAACTCTATGCATACGATTTTGAGGAACTGCCAGACGGTTTTCCAAAGTGGCAGCACCATTTTACATTCCCACTAGCAGTATATGAAGGCTGCAATTTCTCCACATCCTCACCAACATTTGTTTTGTCCATCTCTTTTTTATTATAACCGTCCTAGTGGGCGGGCAGAGGCCTCTCCTTGTGGTTTTGATTTACATTTCTCTAATGGATAATGATGTTGAGCATCTTCTCATGCACTTATTGACCATTTGTGTATCTTCTCTGGAGCAGCTGCATGATGTGGAAAGGTATGTAATCCTGAGCTTCAGTTTCCTTGCCTGTAAAATGGAGGTAATCGGAAGGTGATTAAATGAGGTAATGAAGCTGGAGTCCCTGATACATAAGTAAGTGCTTAACAAAGGTTTACCCTTCCACGCCATTGATTTGAAACATATTAACCTAGCTAGGCTGGACCCACGATTTCCAGCATCTCTTTTCCTGTACGGTTCCAGGTTAAGGTTGACCACAGGAGGAAAATTTGGAAGGCACAAGTGCTGCGATAGCCATTTTATGCTCATCCACGATAGCCAAAAGGTGGAAACAACTCAAATGTACGTCAGTGGGTAAACAAAATGTGATCTATCATTACAGTGAATATTGTTTGGCAATAAAAAGGAATGAAGTCCCGACACACGCTGCAACATGGATGAACCTTGAAAAACTATGCTAAGTGAACGAAGCCAGACGGAAGTGGCCATATGCTGCATGATTCCACTTACGTGAAATGCCCAGAATAGGCAAATTCACAGAGACAGAAAGTAGATAAGTGGTTGCCAGGGGTTGTGGGGAGGTGAGAATGGGCAGTGACTGCTTAATGGATCCATGCTTTCCTTTTGGGCTGATGAAATGTTCTGGAACTAGATAGTGGTGACGGTGGCACAAGACTGTGAATGTACTAAATGCCACTAAATCGTACACTTTAAAATGGTTTGGATGGTAAGTTTTATGGTATGTGTACAAAAATTCCTTTTTAAATTACTTAAATGTGCCATATGACTCCTGCCAGGTCTAAGCCCCCACACTCTGGTGATTTCACCAGGGTGCCATCACTTTTATGCTGGACCCTAAACCTCAGCTGATCGTGCCCATGATGGGAGCAACTGCTGTTTACTCCTGGGAGGATCCTTCCTATGAAAACATGCCGTCTTCTGGAAATGCAAAGAAATCCTCTGCAAAGGAGGGGCAGTTTGTCTCAGCAGCCTCTGCTGGCCAGAGCATGGCATGGAGACCAGGGCAGGTGGTCTGAGGCACAGACTCCAGAAGCTTCTTGAGCAACACTGGGGACACACCTGAGGCCACCCCAGGCACTTATGACACCTCCACTGAGGAGCTGAGGACAGTCTCTTCTGTATTCTGCTTGGGGTTGGGCTAAGTAACCAAGTGATCTCGCACTCCACGGGGC